GAGTCCTTCTGCATTTCTGTAAAGTTCTGGTTCATGACAGACCTGGATTTAAAGTCTGGTGAGAGGATTTGAACTTCTGTAATGGAATGTCCTTGTTAGAAGTGTCTCTTAAAACGTTTTTGTTTTGTTTTGTTGAACACTGCTAATGCTACATTTTTATCCTGCACGAAAAACTCAGCTTTTAAAATTATTTTAATAAACAATTATTGCCTGTACATGGAATTTGTTAGAGAAATTTCTTGGAGTTTTGATTCTGTATGTTTTAATATTTGAGAGTTTGTTTGTTTGTGTTCATGATACAATCTGGTAAGACAGCTTCTTGTGCTTGATCTCTCCAGAGCTGAACTCAGGATTAGATGAAGAACAGATTTACTTCCTGAACATTATTACACTTCTGCAGTTGCATATTACAAAAAATTGTGCTTAAATCTGGGGCAGTTATATTTGAAGAACTTATGGTAATGGTAGAATTCTGAGAACATACAGACTGAAAGGAAATCTTCATAAAGCTCAGTAAAGGAAGAAAGATCTAAGGCTGACTTTTGATTTGTCAGCCTCCTATGCTATTGCCAGCTATCTATGAAAACTCTGGGGAGCTCTAGAATGAGCTTTATCTACTTGTAGTGAAATCTTCTCCTGTTTTCTGATTTTTTTCTTCCCTTGTTCATTTTAACAAGCTTCATATTACTTCAATGACAAATATGGTTGTCTCCATGCATAGCATAGAGATGAAGAAAACACAATGGCTAAAGTCTTGTTTGGTGAAGCATTACACCTAAAAATGTGTCATATACCATACTTTATTGCTGGTATCCGACCATAACCACAGGGAGAAGAAAATAAAGTCATTGTGCACTTGTAGATCAATTCTCAAAGGTCTCTTATAAGCCGGTACCAGAATTCTTGAAGCAGTCCAGTATCTCTTCTAAAATTAAATTTAAATTTACCTCATTGCACAAGGTATTTCAGTCAGATGTATCCCTTCAAAAGGATGTTCAATGGTTTCATAAGGGGCATTTTTGCTGCTTCCTGGACAGAGGGGTGATTTTCAACTGTGTTCTAATTTCCTAACAGGAAAAGGAGAAAATAATCTAAATATTGCCCTTGTCAGAACTACTACAGAATTTCTGTGGGATTGGAATCTAATTAATCATAAGTTCCTCAATAAAATCCAGGCATTTTTATATGTTTCCCATATCACAAGCAATTTTGTGTACTGTCAGTTCATAAATGCAAGCTTCATTCAATCTGAAACTGAACTACTCAATAAAATATTCCCCTGATATGAGTCAAAAATGTCCTAAATGATTTTTGGTCCATATTTTACTGTCTTTGCTTCCAATTAAATGGTCTGTGAATACTGGCAATTACACTTCCTTCCTTTGCCAAATCGCTGAAGTATCAGTAAAGGGTCATCATTTAAACAGCTACAAACTAATCACAAAAGCCAACCTTTAACACATCCATACAGTGATTTTAATGTGGAATGGTCCCCTTATGCCTCTTAATTTTTCTTTTTGTGAACTGCAGCTGTATTGCATCACAGGACATTAAACATGTTTCAGCTCATGGGACTGAGTCAGTCATGTTTTTAGAAATTGAAAACAAATGTTACAATGAGATAAATGATAATATTTGAAGCAATAACAGTTTCCTAGTAGGCATGCCCATTTAACAGATTGCTTAGGTTTTCAGCTTGTAAAGGTAACAGTACCTTTCACTAGCTGATATGATAGAATTTTTTTTTTAAATTCTGAGTTTGACAGTAACACCAAAAGATGCAAACCAAAAGGGCAAGAAAGTCAATAACAAGTGTAGAATTAATTGTGAAATTATTCTCATTTCTGAATTATCATCATTAGCAGAAAGTAGGTAGGAATTTTTTTTTTTATGTTCCAGTGGCATATTAATGAGGATTCATACTGCATGGCTTCCAGCAGTGTATTGGTACCATATTAAGAAGTCTGTATGATAGCAGAAGAGATGGAGAAACAGGGGGTAAAGATAAGATAGATTCTTGCTCTTGTATGGGAAACTATTGGAGTGTGGAGTTAGAAGGTATGTAGGGGCAAAGAGGAAGGAAGTTAAAATATTCATAACATTGGTTCCATTTTTACCTGGAAGCCGAAAAGGGTAGTCTGGTAGACACACAGCTCTTTTATAATTGGCAGAGTTGGAATGTCCTGAACACCTTAAGGTAGTTCCAGATGAAAGTGCAAGCTTTTAACTGGGTTCAAATTTTGCAGTTGTGGTCTGTAGGTACCAGTGAACCTTTTAATGTTTGATCTGAAAAATGGCATCTCAAGTTATAAACACGGTGCTGGAACATTAATTCATTAATACATGATAGGAAAGAGAACCATATTTTAAACTACTGAGAATATCTGCACTGTCAAACCTTCTTATTTCTCACTTAGCCAGCACTTGTTAGGCTGATAAAAAATGAATGCAAAGAGGCATCGTTTAAGGAATGGTTTAAAACTTTATAGAAACCAATCTGACATACAAAAATGTGTGCTACTTGTGGTGATTTCTTTGCAATCAAAAAAAAAAAAGCAATAGTGAGACAATTTTTTGAGTTTTTCTCCATGGTTATTACCAACATTAAGGTCACTTAACGTTTCCTGGAATGCAGAGCTTTTATTATATAATGTAAATGAACTCCCATTTAGCTAGGTTATCCATCATATAATTTTTCTGTATATTTTCTTTCTCTACAACTCTCATTGATCAATATCATTGATTGGTAAGTTTTCTTAAGCTCAGAATATTGATTAATTCTTGTCAGAGTGGCATCTAAGAAAGTTGAGATTGATGCATTTGATCTGTTAGCAGAAGTCCTCAGCTGTTTTAAGGGGATCTGCTTCTGGGAAGAGTAACTGGTGGCAAGAATACATGATTAACAGTATGTAAATATGGAATCTTAGAAACAAAACTTAGCTTGTGTGAGACTAAAACATCTTTCTGCTCTGTACTTCCTTCTGATTTGGTTGTAAGTAAATGCAGTTTGCTGGTAACTGGCAAAGATTCTTAAAGTGTCATGCAAGAAATAAAGGTTTACCATTAATTATCAATTTCAGGATGAACTTACGATATTTAATATCTTATGAAAATATAGGAACTGTGAGAAGATCTTGGGTTTTATATGATTGTCCTCTAGAAGCTGGGTTGTAATTATTTTTATTTCTTTCTGTCTCTTTTCAAAAAATGGCAATTTGTGGTGTTCTTAAATATCCTTGACTTAGATAATGTCAATGTCTTGAGGGTTTATAAACTGTTGCTTACTGTACTATGTACTGCATTTCATGTCATTAACTGAAAACAGTTAAGCATTTAGAAGGCCAGAAACTGTCATTCATTGTCACAGACATGATGTGATCCCAGATATAAAAATTATATACAAAATCCATTATATTTTACACTTGTGCTGTATATAGCTACATGTACACAAATAGTTGAAACAAAATTGATTCAGTACAGTTGATGTCCAAACATCTCCATAAAAGAATTTCTGTAGAGATTTTAGGAAATATGGCTCCATCTAGCACACAAGTTGCGTATTCAGACCTTCAGTATATTTTCTGGTCTTGTGTATTCTATAGTCCTTTTCATATTCCTTCTACGTCATTCCTGTTCAGTTATGCCAAATGTGTAATAAAGGATCATGTATGACTAATAATAATCACATCAAGGTGAGAACTGTAAGTCTCTTTTTCCTCTCCTGATTGCATAACATTGTCTTCAGGAGTTGTTAAAGGTAGCCCATGCATGTAACAGACAATACCTTTAAGACAGGGAGGGAATGACTGAAAATCCTTGAAAGCCTGGCACATTTTGACAGCATGTATCATAAAAATAAACTGCTGTTAAGTAGGTCTATTACTGAGACAAGTTTAATTCTCTTAGATCCAACTGAATATTTCATGGTCAAGGTTTATTCCTGTGCCAAGCTTACAGTAGCTGACCCATGTCATCTTCTACCCTCAAGTCCCACCAAAGAGGGGAAAGCAACTTTCTAGCTCAGAGTTGTTCCTGAGGAATCCCTTACTGTGCAGAGAGCTAAGAAGTAGTAGGGTTTTTGTCCTCAACAGGATTGATGTGACTTCACTTCAGCTCCTGCCTAAAACCAACAACCGACTTAACTCAGAACCTGTGAGGAAGCACTAACTTTGCTTCTCCCTGAAAAATGTTATTCACCCAGGCTGAATATTAATTCAATGCTGTGATTTCAAGCTTTGTCTTTAAGCATATTTTAGTCCTTTTATAATCTGTCCTTTGAAATAATGTGATGACTAAGCATCCTGGTCCAGGTTCTGGACATTCCAGATCTTTCTTACAGTTTCCTAGAGATGCAAGACAGACATTGAAGCAGCCACCTGGGGATTTCCCCAGCCTACAGCTAGCACAGCTAACTAGGCATGGCTCTTCATTGCAAAGAGTAGCAGTATGGCCTGGCTAAGTGAAAGAGCAGAGGACAGAACAATCTGTGTTAATAGAAGCCCCACTGACAGAGTTGTGGATAGAAGGTTTACCTCCAAAGCACAATAGAAATATGTAAGACTCATTTTCTGTAACATTATTGTTTGCCAATAAATTCACCTCTGTAAACAGAATAGCAACAACAGCATGTTTAATGAGTTAGAATTCATGCTACAAATAGAGCTTGAATTCTTAGAGGATTCATCATCTCCAGTAATTTCCATTTTTAAGAACATATATTTCTAGAACATGTTGCAATGTGTTTTATTTCTATTATAGTCAAGCCTAAAACTACAAGATGCAAAGATCTCATATAAACTTTCTCAATTGCTTGTAATGGGTGTTAAAGGAGTTTACTTATTTCAGGGTACCAACCTCTTTCATAAAAGCTGATATTCATATTCAGAAAAATGTTCCGTTCAAATCAGTGTTACAAAACTTTAAAACTTGAATGCCTTAAAAGTTAGCACAATGCATGAAACAGTCCTTCATATTTTCCCTCCTGTGTTCATTTCTTTTAGTGCTGGAGTCGGCAGGACTGGCTGTTTCATTGTGATAGATGCCATGTTAGAGAGAATAAAGCATGAAAAGACTGTAGATATTTATGGCCACGTAACTCTAATGAGAGCGCAGAGGAATTACATGGTTCAAACTGAGGACCAATACATCTTTATCCACGATGCACTGCTGGAAGCAGTGACATGTGGAAATACCGAAGTGCCAGCCAGAAACCTGTATGCATATATCCAGAAGCTGACACAGATAGAAACAGGCGAGAATGTCACAGGAATGGAACTGGAGTTTAAGGTACTGGGATTTTATGTTGCGGGGAATGAAAAACAAATGGTATAACACCTAATGCTGATCTGTCCTCCACCAGTTGTTTCCAGTAATCAAAAGATAAGACATCGGCAGGCTAAAATTTTAAATTAGGAAGACGATGCTTTGTAAAATGTACAATTCTATCCTCAGTTGTGTCCAGACAAGAACTGTTTAGTGAGGGTAGTTTAACCCTGCTGTTCCCATTGTTTCAATAGCTTGAAATGTGTGTCTGTGTAACAGTTTAATACTCAATTTTGTCCATATGCATTAATGGAGCAGACATTAAACTTTTATAAGGTGTTAAAAGAATCTTTACAAATATTTAGGTAATGCAATAGAATATGGAAAAGTAAGCATCTGAAATTGAAATTATTCATTAATGGATAATAAGCAGAGATCATCAAATCTGATAGTGTCATTTGTTTTTGTTATACCTGGCCTTAATTCTTTTAATTTATTTTCAACAGCGTCTTGCTAGCTCTAAGGCTCACACTTCAAGATTCATCAGTGCCAATCTTCCATGTAATAAATTCAAAAATCGCCTTGTCAATATTATGCCATATGAGTCTACAAGGGTATGCTTGCAGCCAATCCGAGGAGTAGAAGGCTCTGATTATATTAATGCCAGTTTCATTGATGGATACAGGTACTAATGTTGATGTGTTCTCATGTGGACTGTTCTAAAAGTTTACAAAATTATTTTTTTAATTATATTGAAAATAAGAAAATTTAGTGCTGAAATTTAGTATTATCTGTGCATACCATGTTTGATTGGGTGGTTTTTTTAAATATAAATAAAAGGTTTAGATTTTCACCCATGCAATACAGGAAAATTCTGTAAATGACATAGAGTCTTAAACATTGTATTTTTACCTACCTTTAAATCACTAAGCACTCCCCATATGTTTTACATGCTGATTTTTACATGAGATTTTAAGCACATTCATGATTTGGAGCCTCTATTTCTTCACAACTATTCTGCTTAAAAAGATACATAGAAATAACATACAGGAGATACACTCTCTGTGTCAAGGTGGTAACCTATGATCTTGGAACACTGATTAAGACTAGACCTAGCTGCCAAAAGCATTTTATATATAAACAGTTGTGTAGCCTACCAGCATCTTCATGACAACACGGAGCAATATGCCCTTAGATGACTTAAGCAGCTGGTAGAAAAAGGCATGAAGGAGAAGCAGTATAGTTTCCCTAAGGCAGTTTAGGTGTACCTGAGTATCCATATCCACAGACTTAATTTTCTGAGCCTCTGCTCATAATTGGAAACAACCTTCATCTCCACTGTCACCCACAAAGGTGTTTCTGTTGATTGAAAGAAGCAAGAACATGAACTGGTCATCATCTTATAAAGCTGCTGATCCAGAAGCTCTTAACAGCCTGTCGGTAGCTTCCACTAGTATGATATTAAGGCCTGGAAATGCAGTGCACTCCATTCCTGAATTTTCTTCCTGCCTTACTTTTGCTGGAGGCATCACACTGTTGAAAAGGAGTTAATAAAGAAACTGCTTGATGCTGTAATTCCTAAGCTTAATAGATTGTTAGACAGTTATTTCTACAAAATGAACCAGCACAACTAAGTGTTTCTTAAGTGCTTTTTACAGCACACAAAATTGAGCTATTAGAGTTGCATTAAAATTTAAATAATAATGATAAAGACATACATCATAACATCAACAGAATAATTTCCCTCAGTTCTAAAAATAAAAAGCCATAGTTTGATTAAGCAGTCATAATAAGGTTTTAATGTGCTTATTATTAAAAGTATATACATTTTTCCTCTAGATAATGTTTACATATAAACAGAGAACGTGTATCAATTCACTTCTTTGATTAAAATATTTTTATTAATTTACTTTTTTTCAACATAGACAACAAAAAGCTTACATAGCTACACAGGGTCCTTTAGCAGAAACAACTGAAGACTTCTGGAGAATGCTCTGGGAGCATAATTCTACAATTGTGGTCATGCTCACTAAGCTACGAGAAATGGGCAGAGTAAGTACTGCTGTAATATTGCTTTACTAAAATGTTTGTTATAATGATTTTTTAATAAAATATTTTGTTGTTATGGGAATGTCTAAAGATAAAAGTGAGGATTTAGGTTCCTTCTTGTTTTGAAATATCAGTAGCATTGCTGATGACCAGGTGTAAGGTTTTCCAATCTGTAGATGTGTTGCAATAGACAAGCTAGACATGGCATTTTGCTCTGGGACACACTGAGATTCAGCAACTGAGTTTGCATATTGATATTCCGAAGTTTGCAGAGAGAACATTGCTGTCTATTGAAAAATGAAGATTTCTTATTTGGAAACTTCGCATTCGCAGCGTCTGTTTTTAACCATGTTAAAAGAAAGTGTGGTATTTTTGAGATCTGAATGTCTTCTGTGAGTTCATACCACTGAACTTTAAAGTTTCATCACCCAGTTTACAGTCCTAAACTCATTCAAGTGCTGCTTTGTGTAATGGAAAGAACAAAGCAGTTTACTATCTGGACAGGATTACATCAAGATAAAGCCGGTATGTGATAAGTGAAACCTGAGTCAGGCCATGTGTCTGGGGAATAGAGATGATTCAGGACATGGCTAGTGGATGCAGAGATAGAGTCTTGCCTGAGGCCAGGGGGACTTGCTTCAACAGGGAAGAAGAAAGAAAACTGAAGGTGGTCTCAAGATTTAAATTCCATTCTGTATTGAAAATTAGGGTAGGGATAACTCTTGTCACTGATAAATAATAGAACTGAGCAGAAGTATAAACGAGTTCAGATGTACAGCGACCAGAGACAATCCCTCTGCAATGCAATAGTGAAGATCATTTTTTATTCTAGGTATGGAACTTCCTGTTCACAGCAAGACAAACAGTTCGTGTTCCTGTCACTAATGGCACTTTCCATGAGTATTACACTTGTTTGAGTGAAAAAGATTTTATACCAGTTTATGGTAGTGATCTCGAGTAACAGGAACTGTATTTTGTGTCGTTATTTTGTAGGAAAAATGCCACCAGTACTGGCCTGCAGAGCGCTCAGCCAGATATCAGTATTTTGTGGTAGATCCGATGGCAGAGTACAACATGCCACAGTATATTCTGAGGGAATTCAAGGTTACAGATGCAAGGGTAAGTTAACATGGCATTACACTAGTTCCCATAAGTTTAAAAGAAAATGTCAATTTCTTTCTTCTTCTCTCTTTTTTAAAAATTTTTATTAGAAAAACCCTAGGGGTGTACTTTCTACAAGCAATAAACAAAAAGCAGATAAAGTTATTATTAAATGAATGGGGTCTTTGTGTAAGAACAATTGACTTCATTCAGATCTAACATTGTCAGATCTAACATAGATCTGTGTGTGGGCAGCACAACTTTGTAAAGTTCTGAATAATTATTTGTGCCAAAATACATTAGATGATTTGAGGATCATTCTCCCTTTTTTCCTCATTTCCCCCTTGATCACTTTTGGGGGCAATTTTTGTCACTTACAGCTGCAAATATGTTGTTTTGCATCACCCTCTAGGCTGAGTGAGTATGAAGGTTAATACATTGAGATTTAAAAACTGCGGAGCAAATAGCATTCGTAAGAAAAGCTTGACAAGCTTTGCACATTATGATTTGATTTTTGGCATAGCATATTTTCAGCACTCTTGTATATCTTAAGAGTAGATACATGCAGCTGTGACCCTAGCATCCTCATTTTCATACTGCATTTCTTATCTGAATTCCTGAGTCCAAAACTGAGCACTGATATAAGATTAAATGTACATAAACTTTAAATTTATATTTGGCATTTCTCAGACTTTTGATTTCTAGCACTTTAGTCTGCATGGCAGGAAAGATTACTGACAGCCTCCATTTCTGTAAGCGCTGTAGAGTACTATTTGTTCAAGCAAAATAGCAGGATGTACTGTCCAGGAATAACACGAGTGATTACTCAGAGTTGCCAGTCAGCATCCAAAATATTAGACTTTCTCATACGTAGTTAGCTAGACTGCTGCTTTTAATGTTAGCTTCAAGTAAAATTAGGTACTACTGACAGTTAGCTAGACAGTATTGTCACTAACCAAGTCAGCATATGAACATTTTAATTTGGCAAATGAGACTTAGGTGTGTGTTTTTTAAAAGAAACTGTAGACACACTGGATCTGATTTTCATTCTATGTGAAAACTAGTAGTGATCACAACTCATAGCTTCCATAACCTATTTGTGCTTAACAAAAGTGGAGAAGAACAGGCTCCTACCATCAGTCTTTAACCACACTTGTAAGCATAGACAGTCAAAGCCAACTTCACTACAACTGTGCTCACAGTTTTCATAGATCATCTGTTAAAAATCTGTTCCATCTCAAGCTGGAAGAGGTCTTATGTGACATAGTTCACCAAGCTCAGATCACAAAATAACAATGATAACAAAAAGCCACAGATGTAGTTGAAGTGAAGTGTCTGCAAACAGTATATATATTTCCAAAAAGTTCTTTCAAGAGTTTATCATCAACTAGGATATTTATGGAAGTCTGTTTACTTATAGCTAGCAAACCAGTAAAAAGTCTGAAAGGGTTGAATAACTTAATTTGCCAGAAATAGTTTTATTGGACCTGATATTAATACACCTCTTTTAAAAAGTGCCAAGCATATGTGCTCCTTGGCTGTCTTGTGACATTTTACCATCACATGTCATTGCTTCTCAAATTTTAAAAATCTCTTTACCTTGATGGTCCAAATTTTGTTAAACAACACACCAGCAAGCTCACAGGGCCATCTTAAATTTTCTGGATGTGCTGGGAAACTATAGGTCCTTCCAAATTTACTGGAAGCGGTGGAGACTACTTACCAAAATGTACATTATAGTTTTCCTGTAGTTAGGCTTTTATGGCTGTCACAGCCAGTAATTGAGACCATCTAACTAAATTGTTGTATTCAAGAAAGCGTAAATGCTGCAGCAGTTGTAACCAACCTCTCTCCCTCTTATCTCCAAACCCATCTGTAACGTTAGAATACCATCCCTGCTCTGGCAGAGCTGAGCCTGCCAATTATTCCCCAGGGGCACGAAAAGAAGCACACAGCCTTTGTAGACGACAGCAGCAAGTGTCTGGTGTGAAACTCCCTGTTATTTCTGAAACTGAGCTGTGAATTGTTGTAAGGTGAAATTGACCTCTGTAACTGTTTCAATCTACTGCTTCTGCCTGCTTTATACTCACTTTCTCTGTAAACTCCAGAGGTCAATATGTTGGGTCAGTCTCATTTAAGGCTAAACTATTAGTGATGGCTGTAAGAGAGTATTATAAATTCTACAGCCTCATCAAAAGGCAATTGAATATCCCCTGCAAGGAGCAAGAAGAAATCCAAATGGTCCGCCAATCAATAGGATGATACATTAAAAGCCTTCTGCTCCACGTAGGGATCTGAAAGTTCGTATTTTGATAACTAGTTGTGCAAACTGTCACAATGTTTGAAAGTAAAGATTTTAATAAAATTTGGCATTTGTATTTGGACTGCTATTGGCAAGCATCTTATTAAAAGAAAGCAGCACTGTTTATAATGTCAGTAGCAGAGGGAACTGTGTAAGAAATTGCAGATCAATTCCCAATATACTTTAATGCTAGTCTAACATCAGACTAACTAACTTTACTTCTGTGCTCATTAAATAGCATTAAATAACAGAAGTTATTGCCATTAAAACTAAATCAGTTTTTACAGACTTGCACTGGATTATTGAGTTATTACGATCATGAAATATACCAATGCAATTGATTTAGACACACTTGAAAAATAAATAAATACCATCAAATCTATTTTGCACATAGAAATTTGTGGTCTTTCCAATGACAGTCTAGACTTAAGTAAAGCAGCATCTTTCTTATGTTTTCTACCCCTAAAAAGTTACTGTTACTCTAGCATAATTCCTATCAGGGTCAGAAATTGCTGAAGAGCTTTCATCTCCTTAACCAACATGTTGCAAGTGAGTCAGACTTAAGGTTTTCTTTCTTTACTTTAGAAGAATAGGAGGTTATTTTGGAGGGAATCAACCTATTGTTTTGTCTTCTTGATTAATGTCATGTGCCTAAGGCTATCTGAAGGACGCAATTTCATTATGTCTTCTTGGGGGAAAATGGGATCACAGAGACCATTACGAGAGAAGTCTGCATTAGCAAAATGCTATTTTGGTAGGAAATATTTAGTTCTTTGTGTTGATGCCCACAAGAAATAAAATCAGGTAAATGTTTTCAAACAGATTTTTTTTTTTTTTTAAGTGGGCAAAAATGTTCCACAGAAATGAACTACTAAATTGTCACAGTGGTCTAGTGGGAATATAAGAGATAGTAAGTCAAAGAAGCGTATGTGTGTCCTCTCATGGAGGACATGGCTGGCACACACACCCATTTTCTGTTTTCCTTACTCATCTGAGACATGGGGGGCAAAAACCCACAGTACCAGAGGAAACATAAAAGTAAAGTATTGTTTTTTCCTTTGGTTATTTTTAAAATCACTTTTATTTCATTTCAAAGATCTGTAATAGCCGAGTGCTTGTGGTAGAGGGGAAGAAAAAAAAGATTGGTCTTGCCTCCAGCATAACTTGTTGCTTTTTGGGAGGATCTCCTATAATAATTTCAATTTTTCATGAGTTTCACTTAGTAGAAGACCATTTTGAAGACAGGCACTAGCTCACATCAGTATCTCATGTGCCCATGCTTTTATGCCCATGCTTTTAAACATTTCACCTGTGCAGATTGGCAGTGTCAAAATCATCACGAACAATGTTTGAAAATTCAGAACAAATTTACTTCATCCATTTGTATTGTATTTTTTCTATTTATGTGTCCTGACCGTTTACACATTAAATAGGCATACAGCAGAAGTTGGCGTTTAATACTTCCAGTGGCTTCATTATAAAAATAACCATGCTGCAGTATTCTGCAGTTTTAAACAATCCTGTTAGTATTCCTAACCAAAGGGAATGAACAGCTTCAGCCAACTTGTTATAGAGAGGAAGCCCTTCTTCTCGATTTTTGACTAAGTCCAAGATGTTAGTGAATGAAATTACAATGATTGAAGAGAAGTTGTAGCTGGCTTGTCTTGACCCATCTTTTTCCAGGCAAATGTCCACCTCATAGAAAGCACCATACTATTAAAGATATCATCTGCAAAGAGGACAATGACTAAACGAGTCTTATCAGTGAAGATATTCCTGCCATGCAGTAGATAGGCATATCTAGGAAGTGGAGAGTCAGATTGGATGGCCTTATTCTGCCTGTTCTGTATTTAAAGGAATTTGCAATCCACAGGATGCAAAACATAACTTACCAGAAAAAATCATATAACCTGGTGAGATTGTTATGTCTTTAGCCTCAGACACACTTTTTACACAGGCAGAATGTCATACAACTCTCCTATCCAGTGCAGAAGGGAATCTATGTAATGTTGTTAATGAAACTGCACTTCTGGGCCAATGTGTCCAAAAGCACCAGCCAGTACTGCAATTGAAAGAGTCTTCATAAACATGATCTTAGCTGTTCCCCACCTCCTCTCAATGTCCCTGTTTTGTGATTGTCTTTCTGGTTGTTGGCTGACTGACTTCCAGCCGCTGGAACATGCTTTTGGAATACATTATTTGTGTCTTTTGTTAAAGGATGGCCAGTCCCGAACAGTGAGGCAATTCCAGTTCACTGACTGGCCAGAACAAGGAGTGCCAAAGTCTGGAGAAGGATTTATTGACTTCATAGGCCAAGTGCATAAAACAAAAGAGCAGTTTGGTCAGGATGGACCAATTTCTGTTCATTGCAGGTAAGTTAAAAAAGCCTCAAAACAACTCATATGCAGATTTGTTTTCTTCTAAAGTTGATTGCTGATTGCAGTCAAGGTGTATATGTAAATGGGATTTCATAGGTGAACTGTCAGAAAATGTAATCAAATAGAAGATCTAAAAAGGAACACATAGGACTGCTTTACGAAACAGGAACTGTTCTGCGATATCCCGTTTACACAGAAAAGGTTCTGAAATATGTGGACGCACATGATTTTTTCTTCACTTAAAAATGTCTAAGGCAGGGTAGAAACAATCTGGTCAATGCTACACACAGAAAGCAGTAGGAAGAGCCTTATCACAGGCTGCTATATCTGATACTTCTTTTCCACTGGTAAATTGAGGCTGTCACATTGGTGGGAATTATTAAACAAGCTAGTTATACCTCAGTAGCACATTAGTAGCAATCAAGATGAGACAAATAAAAATGGTAGCTATCTATCTCAAGAAAGGGAATGGAATAGAAAGCGGTGTTTAGAAACTTTGCCTGTCAAAAAATCATTGAGGTTTGGATTGGTGAATTCTAACTTCAGAATGTAATGCCCATTTTTTGATGTGATGACTTCCCTCAATTCCTTTACAACTGATATGTGGTGAAAACAGCTTGCAGGGTGTGTAGGAATAATCCAGGGTGGAGTTTTTTAATATTCCTGTATTTTGTATTTATTTTCTCTACAGTATTCTAGAGTCTATAGCAGATGGCCAAAACCAATATCTTTATATTTTATCTCTTATTTAATAAATTGTTTTCCATAAATTCCATTAGGATTTTAGATACTCATTTTTGTAACATTAAATTATTTTTGGTAGATGAAATGTTATTATTTATATAACAGAGATGCAAAATACTGATACAGGTTCCAAGTCCTTCCTGCAAGCCAAGTAATGCCCCAATACTAGCATGAATATAAAATGAACAAATTTACTAGAGCATATGAATGTACAAAGGGAGAGAGATTCTTGTCCTTCCAAAGTCAGGAGCAACCAGAAGTTATTAAAACACCAGTGTGTTTTAACAGAGTTCCTTATGCTCCCCTAATCTGAAAGACTGACAAATGTATTGGACTACTTGAATCCTACTTTTTTTGTGTGCCTAAAAATTTTTATGGCCTGCTAAGGAGAAGAGCATTGCAGAGCAATGTTTTGGATTCATTTGGCAGGGGAAAATGAAGGACAACCATGATAAGAACAAGCCTTATTCTTCCTGACATTAATGAGTTTTGAGAGCAGAGGAGTAATAAGCAATATTTATGCCTTTATGCAGACATACATAAGAAAGCAAAGTGATGGTAGTCTTCTAAGTTCTCTGTACCATGCAAACTTGTCTACTCATGACTGGAATGAAATACTGCTTGCAGTGGGTTATGCATCCCTTCCAAATGGGTGTGATCTTTCATGCTGAAATTATGGAGATTTCTGCCGTTGACTTTGGTAGAAACAAAGTCAAATCCGGTATAATTCATCATGGTTTGGTCTTTAAATGTCTTACCATCATTGTGACAACAAATTAGAAATTGGTAATGCTAATCATTATTATCAATGTTAGTCAACTTACATGAATAGGAAATGTCCCTAGCAAATTAGTAAGTTTATTTGTTTCTTCCAGGAAGCACAAGATCCTGGGTACCTGCACTTCCTTAGTCTTTGTGGAATTACTGTAATAATGCCTCCATTTTGTACCATGATGAGTTTTTAAGGATTTCTCTTCTACAGAGAAATTCTTCAAATTACAAACTCCCCTAGTGCCACTTTCCTGTGGTTTCCTTCACACTCTACACATTTTTCACAAGTTTGCTTTCTCTGTTACATAGGAAACCCCTGCCACCCACAATTTTAAAATGTTCTCCTTCTCTGGCATTTTTACAAATAGATCAATGTGTTACAATTTAAAAATTTCTAACCTCATCAGGCAGTTAATTAAAAAATAGTTAAAAGAGCAAAGGACTGTTCACCTTGAAGCAAAATGTTCACTTCAACCAATTTTAAATATTTATACTCTTGTTATTCCAGCTTTTAGCTTGAGAGTAAGGAAGACCACTTTTTCCCAGCATGCATTCAAGATGTATTTTTAGCAACGAACTCTTCCCTCTTACAAAAACATCAATACTTCCTCATGGCTCATTAAAGTATCCTAACTTTGGTTTCTAATTGTTTAAACTTTGGTGAATCATACTACATCATGAAGTAGTGCTTTCACCATTTACTAGATTCAGGATTCTTTAAAACCTATGTCATATTGCTTCGTTATATGTCATGGTAGAACTCAGTTTGCTCTTCAGCTTGTGCTGAAAGAAATCAGCTGATCATTAAAATGCTACTAGTACTTATGAGGACTTCCATCACTCTTTAGAAATCCTAAGCATCTTCTAATAGGAATTGATACCATGTTAAAATATGCTTGCCCCTTTAGGGGAACAGGGTCAGTTTCTTACAGGTTTTACCAAAATACTACACTTGATGGCTAGTTAGGATTTGCAAGTATTGAGATCTTTCCATATTAGTCTGTCTTCCTCATTAAGTAGCTTCTCCAGATACTTTTTCATTTCTTAAGAACACAAGACAATAAATTAATTCCCTCTTTTTGCTGAATTTTAAAGACTTCTGGGTAGGTTTTTCAAAGTAATAAAAATTTGACTAATGTGTGAGGCTAGAAGTCCTCACACACATTTAGCAAATTGTATTTTTTTTGTTGGATATCTTTAAATGGTTGAGCAGCAGCAAGGAGAACAGAAAATGGTTATCTGCCTTCACTCTGCTGGTCAATTTCTGGGCTACTTGGTTTAGATCACACTGTTGTCATCTCTATAAAGTCCAAGCAGGTTCCAATGCTATTTTTCCAGGATTTTTTCAGCATGTTTCTTAAACATTAGCTTTCTAATTTACCTCATCAGGGAAAGGAGACCTTACACTCCAGTTGCTCTAGATGTCCAGGACCATTGTCGTCACGTATAGGTAAACAGCACTGAGAGCATGATATTTTGTCAAGTTGTGTCTCAATTGTCCTTTGCCTTCAGCTCTCCAAAGGCACACAGATTATGTAAAATTGCTAAATCCAATCGCATATATTAAATAACCCTAGAAGTGCACTGATCTAGACCAAACACTAAAATACCATCATACAATTTGGACATTCGATTTTTGCACTAGTCTCATGAATTCACTGGATCTCTGTCATAGTCCATACCAACATTCAGAGTTCTTCAGTCTTTCCCTGCTGTTCATGTTCTTCCACTCTCCTGTCTGGTGAATAGGTGTCATAAATCTCCAACTTTCCAAGCCTGTCTGACTGCAGAAAACCTTGTGAAATTATTAGCATCAACAGTGAGATGATGGAGTGCTCAATTTTCACCCATACAAGTTCAGACTTGGAAAATCTTTTTTTCTGTGTAGTTACCTGTCTCTTTGTCCAAGAGTCATCCTCATGAATAAGTGATTGTTTAATTTTAATAACTGACAACTATTGGCTCTATTGATTACAGGAATTTCTATCACTTCTTGGGGGTTTTAGCTAATAACAGAAACCCAAGACAGAACAGAGAGCAAACAAGCCATATATTCAAAGAAGACATTTCAGACTAATGTAGACAGACATGGTGTACGTATATCAGTATTGGAAAACTAAAAATCCAGACTGCCAGACTTGAATAAAAGCTGTGTCTGAAGGTTTCTGTGTATCTGTTATCAAAATTGTAGTGTGTATGAACAGTTTCAATATTAATTGAAAATTCACGGACTATCTCTAACTCAAAGTAGAAGGTAAACTAACACACTGAAGATGTGCAAAACAGGGCATATACGTGAAACAACTAAAGTAAAGCAAGCAGTAAAAAACATTTTGGCCTCTTTTTCTCTTGTCAATTCCAGCGTAGGTCATCGGCAACAAACGTTCTCATTTTCCTTCACCATGCACTGATTACTGTATATCTGGATGAACAAATCAAGTCACTTTGCAATGAAGACTGGAGAGTCAGGAAGTACTTAGTAGCATGTGAAGTTTGCTTGAGCGCAATTATTCTTCCAAATGCAATGTGGTAGTTTGCTGTGGAATTTTGCTTAGTGAGCCTTTCCCCATATAGAAATCTGTACACATATGGTGTGTTGTAACCACAGATAATTTGTCAACCAATTCTTTCAGCATTAACTGTCAATTAACATTCCTTTTTCCCTTTTTTTTCTTTTATTGCAACAGTGCGGGTGTTGGAAGGACTGGAGTATTCATAACCCTGAGCATTGTGTTAGAGAGAATGAGATATGAAGGTGTTGTAGATATCTTCCAGACTGTCAAAATGTTAAGGACGCAGCGACCAGCCATGGTACAGACAGAGGTGAGCAAAACAGTATCCATATACAATGGTGACGGAAAAGAAGGGATATTTCCACAGCCAAAAAATGCACAGATAGAGACTATATAAAATGTGCTTACATTTATATCTTAAGTCATATAGTGACTATATGACTACAGTGTAAAATCTGCCATAAAGATACTGCAAGGACTATTTCCTGTTATAGCAGTAGATACTGCAGGCTGGGGAAAAAAAAAGCATTTCAGTAGTGGATCCTAAATTATGGTAGTTGAGGAAAACCATTTTCCAAGAAGCATTACCCATTTTTATTTGAACCTTTGTTTCCTGGCAGAAATGTGTGGTATTAAAGAAGGAGGCAAATTGTTTCTGCAGTTGGATCCACTGATTTTTTTGTTCTGGGAGCAAAATGTTGTTCATGGCTTCAGACTGACACTGTATTATTTTCATGGTTTTCTTGATTTTGTGTCACCAAGTAAGTGGCTGTTTAGCCTGAAAATAATGGTAAATTCAGCGTTCAGGAAAACTATAGTGTTAATAATTTCTGTGTTAGCAAGAGTGCCATAGAGAAATAAGGAAAGGGATAAGCAGTATCAACTGATTTCCTGGGCCTGGATGCTTGGAACTGTGTCATGTCATAAAGAATACTTAAACATTTTCAGTTGTGCTTAATTTCTACTTAAATTTCTGAACAGGAGACTGGAACTAAGCCAGAGCCAATAGGTTAGGAGAACCAAGCAAAAGGGCAAGAGAAGGGCAACATTTTAGCTCATACATTTGTTTAGTAATATTTGATTGACGCTGGTCTTTAAATTACAGTCTGCGAAATTTAAAATGGTTCCCCAGAGTTTGCCATTTTCCACAAGAAAATTAAACTTTTTCAATAAAGCTGGGTAGTCTTATTTTTAAGAAGACAACTTCATAAAAACTTACATGAAAAATAAAGATACTTATTTTTAATCTTGTCAGTTAGCCAAGTAAATCACTGTGACCAAACTGAAGAGTTAATTCCATTTCTTTTCCATGACCATCATTCTTCTGGATATGCAAAATGAAAAATGACTGCTTTCTGTCATTTTGGTTCCACAAAATAAGTGCAGTATACAAAAAAACTATGCTTCTTGGAGCCTACCTGAGAAATACAGAGTTCAGTTATGCAATATATTCTCCCTTCTCCTACTTTGACTTATTTCTGTATGCTACCCTTCATCCCCGCTGCTGAAAGTAGAAGTGTTGTGTACGGATTTCTTTCAGGATTCTGTGGAAAACAAATCTCTCATTCAGTAGTATAAACTGCCAAGAAATCTAATCCTTATTCAACAAAGCACTTGAACTCCCTGTGGACCACACATACACTTAAAATTTACGCATGTCTAATGCATTCGCCCACTGTTCCAACAGGAAGCAGTAAAGAGCTATTACTGATCATGCCACTACATTGAAGCAAATATCTGATGAGTTTCTGGTCTCCAAAAGAATTTTAACTGTGATCTTAACAAGAATAACCCATCTGGGGTTACCACATAGCACTATCAGAGAAATAAGCAGACCTTCTTGATATTTTGGACGGCTTTCAGAAGCAATTTCTTTTCTTTTTTTTTTCTTTTTATTTTTTTAACATTTAAACCCTGAGTGGCAGTTGCAAAAGAGTACACAGACGTGCCATTTTAGGGTAAGTGTGCATTATCACATAAATGAGCAAAAGGACTGCTGAGAGGGGGTGAGAATAACATGAATGCCAAATGTTGGATTGACCAGAGGTATAAGCAAATCTCTCACCACACTGAACTTTGCTTCCAGGTGTAAGTTGAAATGCAATCTGTTTCATGTTAATAAGGTGCTTTAGCAACGTAATTCTCTCTTAGGCCCTTTTCTTGCCACAGGCTAAGATATCTTCACATCTTCATCAAACCCTATATTACTGAAAGGTTGGGATTCCCTTTGCTTCCTTAACATGATTTTTAACCTAGTGGTTCTCCTACAGCATTCCATATTAATGCTGTGATGGATTTTGTCACTTAGAGTGTTGTATTTGCTATAGAGTTAATTGGATATTTTGCTACTTATTTTCAAATACATGGGGGAAAAGTGTCTTAGCATGCTCCCAGAAGAAGAAAGCTTTATGGTGATGTTATATTAACCCAGAACAACAAATGGTCTGTAGGTAGGTATATAGTCTCTGCAGAAAAAGAAGCTGCATTCTGTGGAAAATGTTACTGCATTAAATGAGTGTGTATCTTCATCTATTATAACTGAGACTGGTTTTCTGTTGATGTCAGCAAGAGAATAATGCTGAACTGCAGATGCCTCTGTGGTATATTTGTCTGTAGCCACAAATTATTCACTCTTAGTTGAAAGAAAATAGAAACCAACCAACAAGCTGGCTTTTTGATGCTTTTGTTTTCTATCTTTCTTTCTCCAGGATCAATACCAGTTCTGCTATCGAGCCGCACTGGAATATCTGGGCAGCTTTGATCACTATGCAACATAAAAACCAGTCGTGGATTTTTATTGCAGGCCCTTTAAGATCCAGAGAGCCGCTTCTGAGCCATACGATGTGCTTTAGAAGTACTTCTTAACTCTTAGCTAAGGAGCGATTATTGGGGATATATAAAATAAAAAAACAAACAAAAATAATGGGGATATATAAAACAAAAACAACAAAACAACCCTATTCCATGTGGACCAAGAATTCACAGTTTAATAACCTAACCATAATAAAAGAATCCTGACCACTGAGGCGTCTGAAGGATCTCATTTACAGATACCTCAAGGGTTCGACATTGGTTGAAGTTAAAGGGAAGAGGAAATTATCATCTTGTTCAGGATTGCATGCTTTTGCAAAGAGGAATATTGAGAGAACTGCAGTCAGTGCAAGATGTTTGTTAAAAAGTTGGGTCCTGGCTTCTCAAACAAAGCAGACTCTTTACTTCAACATCACCCTTTCCCATCATACTGCTCATCATAACACTTTAGGGAAAATGTGGGAATGTTTAAAAAGGAAGTCCTTGATTTAGTTTTTTAGTATTGTAAAGACACTGCTGACCTGTGCTTCATTTTTAACTGTGTAAACTTTTTCCTTTTTTTAACAAGAGTTTATCATTCAATGAAGTGTATTAAAGAAAAGGTTGCGTAACTGTTAATCTTTTTGTTTAAAAACTGTAGATTTTTTTTAAACTGTAGAATGGTTATCTGTAATATTGTGCTGTAGAAATGTTAAATAATTTGAAAATTTGCACATTTTTGTGCAAATACTGTAGATATTTATCTACAGTACCACAGTCTTGTTAGATATTACTTTTACAGTTTTGTTTGTTTTATTTTTCTTTAAGAAAATATTCATTGTAATCAGTTAAATCAGAATGGGGCTTTTTGGTTTCTTTTGGAATCAACAGGGAGGCGCAAAGTATAAAGATGCTGCTAACACACACACACACACACACACACGCACACATACGCACATGCGCACCCACACCCTCTCTCTTTCTATATATGTAAGTATATGTATGTATTACTGTCTACCCTTGTCTAACTCTCTGTATAGTTACAGAGATACAGGTAGGTAGACATACACATAAACATATCAATTCTTCCATACCTGGATTTATCAAAGCATTGGGAAAGTTTTTCAGCATACTACAATTATATTAAACTACTATTTGATCATCTCTGCATTTCCAAGGTCCATAAACTTCTGTTTCAAAGGGAAGTGAGGAATGCACATCATTGATATTTGAACGTCATCTCTATCCCAAGTAATATTTCTGTCCACATTGCCACTTGAACACACACACACATGCAGACACATGCACACATGCACACAGAGTATGTGATTTAGGCTTCCAGTGAAGTTCAATATTTGTAACACTATAGTGCAATAAGAAATCATATTATTAAATGTAGGAGGTGTGCATGTGGGAAAGGTCAGTGCATATCCCTTTAGGAGGGGAGAATGTTGTAATATACTAGGTATTAAGATGTTTTAAAATTGTATTCAATAGTATACTGTCTGTAGTGTGCGCTATATAATTTACATTTATCGTATGTAACAGGGCAAAGCCAAACACACATTGCTCTGTGAAATCAAACGTTTTGTGGCATACAGCATTGTTTGGGGATGCTGGGTTTTATTTTAATTTTACATTTAGAGTGCCTTATATTTGATGCCTATTTTGAATAGCATTTCTTTAACTTAGCCTTCATTTGTATTTAGTTCAGTTTGTTCATATCTCTGTTATTCTTTTCAAACATTTTAATACATGTATCAGACAATTTTGAAAAATATGCATTTCCAGTTTCTAATCAAGTATGGATGGTAATAAATGGTAACCCAAAACATGTAGGTAGTCAAGGCCCTTTATCTTTCCGTATTTCCAATAACAGACCAGCCCACAAATTAAAAATCTATTTCTCGTTGGCTTTTCAAACCCACTGTGTCACTGGTTATAGTGTTATCATCGCAGAGATGTAGCAGTACACTAGCAGTACTTGACAGTAGCAGTGCTCATGCATCTTTTTTTTTTTATTTTGGGCCAAGTCCTGCTCATTCATTTGTGTCAACAGATTGCTAGTCAAACCATTGCTTTCAGTGGGAGGGTTCATGTAAGGCTAGCAAGACTGAGCCCACAGGATATATTTGAGAATGACACTAGATTTTCTTCCAGGGAACAAAGAAAATTCTGTAAACAGCAAAAAGTACTTTTTGAGACTCTTAATAGGATGCCATTTACATTGACCCTGGTTTCCATCATGCCTTCTGCCATTGTCAGTACATGAGTATCAAAGGAATTCTTTCTTTGGGGTTTCCGATAGGAGCATTGGTATGGCTTGTCAATGTGACCTCAACTTTTTTTCTTCTTCTTCCACTTTTCCCACTACTAGCAGAAAGAAAAATATGAAAGACCAAACTCTAGCAAGCATTGTATTTGAGCACTTTGTAAAGAAAAAAAAAAAAAAACAAACACAAAAAAAATCAAAGCAAAAATATAAATATATATATATGGAATAGAAGTATTATAGAAGGCTACCTCAGAATGAGATTCTATAACTTACATCTGAACCAGAGAAGAATGTGCACTATGTTTCTTTTTCTTCTTCTTTCTTGATTTGTATTTTAAAATAATTATTGAAGTGCCAGGTTATGTGTTGTGGTCATGTTCTTCAACTCAAATGTAGGGGATCAGAAAAACACAATCAGAAAAGCATCATTTTGGAAACATAGACTAGGGAAGATTCTTGCACAATAGATCTGTAAAAGGATCAGCGCATTCTCCCTAGCAGACTGTCTTGCAAGCTCCAAAGAAAATGAGGGAATTAAAAAAAAAAAAAAAAGCAGAGCCAATTTGTGAGGAAAGCCGTTGTACAAAAAAATATTCCTTTTAGTTTTTATGGTTCTCAAGATAACTATTAGCATCATTGATGTGCATTCCACTTTCTGTATTCTTATGTATAGTCATTCCACAGTTAGTTTAAATCATGAGCATCTTTGTATACATACATCATACATTTCCAAGCTTAAAATTGGTTTCATCAGCATAACCAGTACGGTGCTATTATTTACGTTTGTATGTGTAGTTATGTCTAATTTTGTAATTAGTTGCAATGGGTAAAAAAACCCACAAAATATATAAAAATTATTTATACAGAAGTTTAATTTAGCTCTTTTTAAAAAAAATTATTTGAGTTGTTAGATAGTGGACAGGATGGCTGGGGGAGGGAGTGGCCCTCTAGGGAGATTTGCACTTTCTATATATACCTTTGTACTATGCACTGCCCTATTGATTCTACACCCAATAATGTTATAACTTGAACCCATCTGTAAGAAACTGCTTATGAAATCCACTTGTGTGTATTTAAATGACACAGAACATGTAAAAAGGAAAAAAAAATGTTTGCAATGACTAAAAAAATAATGCAACTGGTTTTTTTTCCTTTTATTCTCTCCTATTTTTCTTTTTTTTCTTTTTTCTTATTTTCTTTTCCTTTTTTTCTTTTTTTTCTTTTTTTTTTTTTCTCAGTGCCCTGATACTCCACAGATATCAGAAGGCTGCAGGTCTCATCATAACCATCCATTATGTGGCTTTGCCATTCAAGCTTGGAGTGTCTTTACAAAGATAATAAAAAATTGTGTTCTTTGCTCTTGTTTTGGATGCATAGACTGAAAAATTAAAAAAATTACCTTGTAAAATGGCTTGTTAAAAAAGATACAATTACCTCTAGTAGTACGCGTAAATGTTTTACAGAATGAAAGGCGTGCTTTTTATTTTCTTACTTCGTTACATTGGTGGCGAAAGAAAGTCTGTATGAAAATCAGTTCTTTGCTGACACAAGTTCCATTTGTTACAAATGAATTCTAATAAAATGTCAGTGTTATGCAGCCCTGGTCTTCTTTCTTAAGCAGTACTCTTGAATTCAAAACTTTTTTGGTCCCTCTTGGTGATAAAGGAGTTTAACTGGAACTATAAAGCAGTCATTAATCTTCTTAACTAGCAGCTGGACAGTGGAAAATTCATTCGTAGGTTAGCAAATATATATCATCTTCAGCAGCAAATTTTGAGCCAGCATAGGCAAACTGTTTGGCATAAATTCCCATAGCTTCATGAATTTAATTGAAATTATCACATTTTACATGCCTCAGGAGTTCCGCTTTGTGCTTTAGAAATGTATCATTACACTGAGAAAATAGACTTCTGTCCGTTCATAGGTGCAACCCAAAGAGGGCAAAATACCCACATATTGGGGGCGAATTGTAAATTTTTCAGCCCTGCAGAGTTGGCAGGTTCTGGAGTAAATCCAAAGTCACTGGTCAGAATTCAATTACTGAAATTGTGGCAAGCAGTTGTCACAGATTTTTGATTCATTTGTGCTCTGCACTGCATGTGCAGCAAGTGCAAACGTGGGTCTGTGAAGCTGCTACCCAAATACTGTGCCAGTGTTTTCAAACACTTTGAAACAGTTTTAGATGAACATGCCACGTGTATTGAGGCAAGCTGCAAGGGGCATGGCATGGCAATCTAGTCAAGGAAAACATAAAAGAGTCTTACTCTGTTTGTTTTGAAGGAAGGCAGGTTCTGTCTCCAAGATTGCTTTGTTAGTAAGGGAACACAGTCTATTAGCGATTAGTATCAAGTACGTGTTAATAAAGAATTCTCTGTGTTGGAAGGATGTGCAAAGACATTAACATTAGACTGATTTCTAAGAACTTGTATTGTTCTTAGCCTAATTTCCACGTTAAGATGGTGATAATAGTGTAAATGTGAAGCCTTGGTGTTCTTACAGAGTCTTATTAATGTTTTTGACCGACTTCCATGGATTTTACAATTACTGCTTTGCAGGCTGCCTTTGGCTTGAACCTTTTTTGCGTAGTCTGTGCAAGGTGGTTTAAAGCTGTGTTATGTAAGGGTTTCTTTAGCTATCTGAGTGGCTTCAGATGGTGCCCTTTAATGTCAGCATTGACTTCTTTGGATTTTCCTGTTCTGTGTGTCTAGCATG